CCATGAGCCTGTGCATGCAGGGTACCTAAGGCTCCAGCTCCTCTTCTCCAGGGACCATCTCCAGCCAATGTAAGTTTCCTCATCTTTCTATGACTTACAACTGGCCACAAATTCAAGAGTTGACTCCTGGGCAACACCTTTTGTAGGCAAGGACTCCTTTTAAACAGAAAATTTTACCCTGGGTATATAGACAGGCATGTAAATCAAACATCCACTGGCAACAAGTTATAAGGAAATATTTTAAAATTGTTGGTATATACATAATTATATATTGAAGATAAAAGCAAATTTGAATACTAAACAAATGGATATACTTTCTGATTTTAGCATGGAAGAATTAAATCTTGGCTGAATATTCGCTACTCTAGGATGGAGAGCCTCTTCAACACCTTTCAGAGTTGACCAATATTTTAGTTTTATAATTGCCAGTGATAAGAACTCTGCTTTATATAAATACATAGTACAAAGTAGCAGAAGTATGTTTAGGGCCATTTCACAAATTGTTGAATTTAATACATAAAAAAAATACTCAAGTCACCTACTCAAACAACAGTTGTAACACTCAAACATGGCATGCGGCATGCACGGTGTCAAGTGTTTGTGCCACAAGTTAGAGTCTCAGTGAAGCACTGTCCGAGATGTTGGCCCACGGCACGACTGTAGGGAGGTGTCACTGTAGGTGATTGCCAAGCAAGGACACAGTCTGAAAGTGGGAGGCACCATTCCCTGGCTTTATACCCTGGACTGCAGAAGAAAAGAAAAAGTTAGTTCAGTAATAAACAGGTATGCTTTCATTTCTCCCTGCTCCTGGCTGTGGTTGTGATGGCCTGCTTTTAGCTTCTGCCCTGTGACTCCCTGATATAATAAATTTAATACAAATTATGAGCCAAATAATCCCCTTTCTCCTGTCAGTTGCTTTATGTCAAGGTATTTTGTCACAGCAACAGAAATGAGAGTAAGATGCTCATTGGGTCAATCAAACCTGTGGACCTAGATTTCTGATGCTTTCCTTAAATTTTCTATTCTGCCTTTATTTGGGGCTGGGACAGTAGCTGTGGCATGTTTTTCTTACACAGTCACTGTGTTTGAATCCCTTCTTCAGGTGGCCATAACATCCAAGACACTCAAGTCTTTTCCCATCCGGGCATTTATTTCCTATATGTAGTATTCCTGTGAGTTTTCCCTCTGGAATCCTAGGTTCTTGCTTGTCTGTTTTGATCTTCAGCCTTCTCCTGCCTTTCCCTGCCTTGTTTGAACTAGTCACACTCACGTGTTCTCCCCATGAGCGCTCAAGTCTGAGAATTTAACCTTCATTTCTCCTTGCCCAAGGTCCATCACTGCACTATTTCTGCCTTGATTCTGGGCCCTCCTGCTTGCTCCTGCCCCGCTGTTACCTGCTCCCAATATGACAAGTATGATTATCAAAAGGCCTGTTTTCCAGAGATTTTATAAGACAACCTGCAATTTCCTATCCTTCAGTGGGAGAGAGGTTCTCGGTTCAGGAGCTGAACAGAAAAAAAAAAGGAAAAAATGTGAACGGTTCAGGGGAAGGCACTTAATCCTCTTCAGCTCTGCCAGAATCTGACATCATTAAGAAGATAAGTAAATAATACTGGAGGCAACATCAAGATAAAATGCAAATGGCCACAATGCAGCCTTTGCACTTAACCAGCTCTTTCTTTTAGTATTAGTTTCCTGTTGCTACTGAAATAAATTCTACAAACCTAACAGCTCAGAACAAATTTATTTTTCTGCCATTGTAGAGATGAACAGTCAGAAAGGAGGCTCCGTAAGTTCTGCCTGTGGCATTGAGAGGTTGGTAGGCTGTCTTCCTTGAGGGGGTGCCCAGCGTGTGACTATCTGTGGCCAAGAGACAGCTATGAATGCAGCCCACCGCAAAACTGTAAACATAACAGTCATGAAATTTTAGCGATTGTTTGGGTATTTGGTTGTGTGGTTACTTATGTGAATTTCAAAAAAATAGTTTTTATTTCATGCGTGTGAGTATTTTGCCTTCGTGTAGTGTAACATGCGCATGAGGTGTCTGAGCAGACCGGAAGAGAGCAGTGGATGCCTTTAGCTGGAGTTATCGATGGTTATGATCTACTCTGTGGGTGCAGGGAATGGAACCCAGGTCCTCTGGAGGAGCAGCCAGTGCTCCCAACTGCTAAGCCATCTCTCCAGCTTTGGTTGCACAGATTTTTGAGCATGAGCTTCGTAGATGATAATGTTGTTTTACAATGAGGAAAGGCTGGATCTGCTTGTAAGGGTCAGGAGAGAATCTATTCCCTTCCCTGTTGTAAATGTCACCCATGGGCTCTGCTTTAGCTCCTGATTCCTTCCTTAGAACATGTGAGCACTTGCCTCCCTCTGATCTGTCCTTCCATCTGTACATCCTTCGGACTCTTACTAACCTCTCCACTATGAGAACCCTGTTTTCATTGGTTCTAGGAGATAACCCCAAAGAATGTTCTAACCCTAGAAAACATTAACAGAATATTATATATATAAATATGAATATATATTTACATATATATATATATATATACATATACATATTCACAGGTCCTCGGTATTAGGGTAATGGGCATCTTTGGAAGCTATTACCCCACTAACAACTTTTTTTTCTTCTAATTTCATGGTTAATTTGCAAACCTCTTGTAACACCAGAATGTTCCTTTATGTGCTCAGTGTTTCGTGGGCCTGCTAATTTATTCCTCACAGTGACTCCACCGGTGGGCAGTTTTGACAAATCCATTGTGTATAGGAGAGAGAGAGGGGAGGGGAGAGGAAAAGAGGTGAAAGCATTACAAATAAATTTGGTTGGACAATGTCTATCTAATTGTCAATCACAGACGTAGCTGTATTACTATAGTATTTTTACACTGCCTTGCTTAAAAATGGAGGGGGGCCTTGAGTAACTCTGTATCTTCTGAAGCCAACCTCCCACCCCCTGTCCCCACCAATCCAAAAATCCTTTTTCAAATCAGAGTTCAATTCTCATATTTGCCAGAATCCTCTCCACTTCCTTATCACACTACTGTGAAAGGTATGTGTTTATGGGTGTGTGTGTGTGTGTGTGTGTGTGTGTGTGTGTGTGTGTGTGTAGCTTCTCACACCTGGGTCTAAGTTGTATCATCTCTTGCAAAGATAACCCAAGGCATGCCCAGGTGGTTGGCAGCTACAGTCCCAGTGACTTTTGATCCATTGCACGGCTTTATTACAGTCATGCTGGCTCATTTATGGCATGAGAGGGAGGCTGTGGCTACCTCTTTTGCTGTCCTGACTTTTGAAAGTGACATTTACTTTAGTATTTGTAAATGTAGAGGTGATACACGTTTGAGGTAGAAAGTCTTAAGAAAGTTAAAGCAATAAAATGGAGGAAAATGTCCCCTTTCAGTCCCCTGACTAGTTTGAAGCAGTTCCCTTTCCCTGGTGGGCGCTTTGATGACTGTTTCCTGTCTCTTGGTTCAGTGTATCCTCATTGGCAATCCCCAGTTGCCTCGCAACAGGTGGCCCTGCCTGTTGCTGTGTCCCCACTTTAGCATGTCTGTGATAGGAGGTGGGATAGAAAATGACATGAAAAAAAATGGGTCATAGACGTGAAGAGATTATTTACTTCATGGAAGAAACAATAGAGATTGCATCTGGAAAGACTTGTGGCCTGGGAATCATAAAGTGCCAGGTTTCTCTAAATCCAACCAGACAATTAAAAACCTCCATTTTACTTTAGAGATAAAAATTACACTAAAGCAGGCAATGAGGATAAAGTCTTAGAAAAAAGTGTTTGGCTTGGTGCTGGAAAGCCTGGATGTGTTTGTTCTACGTGTTTATTTAACCTCTTTGACATTTGATTCTTCAGAGAAGAGCAGCAATACTGTACCCCTCAACAAGGCTGTGGAGATTAAAATGGAGAATTATACAAAAGCGCTCAGCTCAGGGTCTGCCCCACACTAGGTGCTTAGGAAATATCCACTCAAAATGCACCCACATGTGCGCCATACCAGTTATTATAGTTTGCTACTGTGAAAGAATCTATTTAACCCAGAAAAGCACACCTAAAACTCAGGTTGCTGAAGACAGACACCTATGTGTATTTGCGTGACCTTGCAAATCTTGGCAAAGTGAGCACAGGAAATGAATGGAGTCTTATCTCTCGGGGACACACGGTCTCAGGTGGTGAAGACTCCTGGGCCAGGGTGTGTGGAAGGTTTGCTCAACACAGAGAGGCGCAGGTGCCTTTGCGACGGCAGTGTGGATGACGAGGGAACTTTCCAGAGATAGGGGTGAGCTGAACATGGATTTTCAGTGTAGAGGGGCTGTTTCCAGAGACATAGAACATTCTGGGCAGAAGAAAGAGCATGCAGCAGAGAGGGGAGGCAGAGAGTCCTCTATCCATAGTGACAGGCTGGTGCAGGTGGGGGTCAAAGCCTATGGGTGAGTAAACCAGGGATCACCAGCTGTGGAGCTGAAAGCCAGGCTGGTTACTAATGCTCTGCATGGGCTGGATTTTTGTTAATGGGACCATGTCTGTCTTTGGGGAAATACTGTGGTTTCTGTTTAAGGGATGGAGGGAAATAGGAGGGAGGAAAGTTAAAGGAACATAGCCAATCCCAGATGTGTGCTGGGGTGGTTAGGGGGTGCTTTGATTTCAGCTCCTTCCAGCCAGGAATTCCTCCTTTTGATTCATCTTCTCTCACACTCCTTCTCTTCCTTCATATTTTTTGAGAAAGGATCTTGTTGTGTAGGCTGGCCTCAAACATGTAAGCCTCTTGTCTCAGCTGGAGTACTGGGCAGATAGACATGTGTTAGTGCTCTCAGTGGTTTAGCTTTATTTTAAGTCAGCCCATAGTTTCGCCTAGATAGAAACTGTTTGTCATTCTGTTTCAAGAAAGTCCTGCACCTTAGGGGCATGCAAGGGTCAGGGGGTCTATGTTGATGATTTCCGGGAAGCCTGTGATGCTATGATTTCTTCTCCCCTCCCCTTCCTGTGTCCTCAGCAATGGAATGGCAGAGACACGGCCCTCATGGTCACTCGCGTGGTCAACCACAGGCGCTTCTCAGCCACAGTCAGCGTGGCAGACACCTCTCAGCGCAGTGTCTCCAAGTATCGCTGCGTGATCCGCTCAGATGGGGGGTCTGGCGTGTCCAACTATGCAGAGCTGATTGTGAAAGGTGAGTTCCCCAGTGCACAACTTTACCAGGTGGTTGCTTGCAGAACCTCTTCACTCCGTTCTACACAGCAAGCCCATTCCCTTCCCTGTTGCTTCCTTCTCCTCCCAACGGTACACGACGGGTTTCCAGTCTCTAATCTCCCCAGCAAACTCCAGTATTGTAATATCTTCATGTGGAATATATAACACAGAAGCAACCTCCAAATTTGGCTTAAATTTGTTTTCCAAACTCAAGATAAATATATGTTCTTTGTGCTTTGGTGATGTTCCACTGAAATGGTCTCCTAGAATTCTTTCGTGAGGAGTTTCTAACTGAAAGTTCCATATAATGACAGTATTTCTTTTAGGAAGGCTGTTGAAATACTGAGCCTACTTCCCAAATGGTCTTGAGTCGATGTTTATTAGTTTTCTTGTGCTTGTTCACCTTGAAAATATGGTTGGCTTCAAGTTTCTGGCACTGTTTGAGAAGGTCCTGGAACTTTTAGGAGGCAGAGCCTTGCTAGAGGAAGCACATCATGAGGTTGGGAGGGAAGCATTGAGAGGCCATAGCCCCCGCCCCCATATATATATATATATATATATATGAAACCAATATATATATATTGGTGTTATACAAAACCAGATTCTTAAAATCTCTGTAAGTTGAGGTGGTAGGCCAAAGCACATGAACATCTTTATGGATTTTCCTTCTTTGGATTGCAATATTGCTTTTGCAAGGAATTTCTTGACAGTTTATATGGGCAGCAACAGTGTATGAATGTATGCATTTTTATCACTGCTATGTTCACTGATTAAAATTTCACTATAGCAATAATTAGTGAATGAGATAATGAACCAGCTCATATTATGCCAGCTGTAGAATAATGCCTGCTGTGTTTGAAGGGAAAAAAAAATTGCTTGATTATCAGAAGGCTCTGGGTTTTTGTTGTTGCTGCTGCTGTTGCTTTGGTTTGGTTTGAGCATGGATTGGTGTAAAAACTTGGTCTTCTCTTTGCGGACTCTGTGTGACTGGTGGCTTTAGTGAGACCAGAATGGAGATCACTGTCTGGATTGTCTATGGTGAACTATCTTGACTCCAGGTAGATTTTCACATGGAGGGCGGTGTGTTATCACTCACATCATCGTGTCTCCTCCCTGCTGTGATGGGTAATGTTGACCATCAATTTGACAGGGTCTAGAATCATCTAGGAGAGGGCCTCTGGCTTTGCCTGCCTCTCAGAGGATATCCAGATTTGGTTGGCCTTAGAATGTACCTGTAAGGGGTTGTCTGTACTAAATTAACATGGGGAGAATATCTTAATGGTGGGCAGCATTGTTGGATGAGCTGAAGTCCTGTACTGAACAAAGAGGAGAAAGTGAGCTCTGGCATTCATTTCCTTCTCCTTCATGACTGTGAATGAAATGTAACCAGCTGCTCCAAGGTGCTGCTGTCCTGACTACCTACCATCATGGACTTCACTCAGGACCCAACTACCCTTCCTTCTTCTCAGTTGATTTTGACAGGACATCTTATGACAGCACAGAAAGAGGGAAAGCAAATAACCTACATAGCTCTTTTCTTTTTTTTTTTTTTTTGAGACAGGGTTTCTCTGTGTAGCCTTGACTATCCTGGACTGGCTTTGTAGATCAGGGTGGCCTTGAACTTACAGAGATCTCCCCAAGTGCTGGGATTACAGTGTGTGTGCCTTGATAGCTCTTATCACACTTTGAAAGAATGACTTCCTTTTGCCGATGCTTAATTTTCTCCCTTTCTAGACATCGGCTCTGAGGAAGGGAGGGTGTTATCTGTTAAGTGCTCTCATCAGGGGTTATACTCAGCACAAGTTCTGCGCTCACTAAACCACAGAAGTTGCTAGTGTTTGGCTACTTTCATGTGCATCATGGTCTCATCAACCTAAAGATTTCTCTGGGATGATTTATTTCTCTGTGTGAGTGAATTATCGGTTTTATCGGGCATTTATCTCACCACCAGAATGTCATGAACCTTTAAGCCAAAGATCAACAAATTAGGTGGTCATGAACAAAATAATACCAAAAAAAAAAAAAAAAAGCACCTTTAAGTCCATTCACATGAAGTGCCATTAATACATAAAAGAAACCATCACTTTGATCACATTGGACTCAGATCTTTGCTTTTCTGGTCCCACGAGATTGACTCATGTGACACAGTAGCCTCTGCAGCACTTTGAAATGCTCAGTGAATGTGTAATTTCCTGAGCTGTCCCCTGGAACACTTGTTGTGCTTTTTCATGGTTGGTTTCCCTCTCTGCTGAGGGAGTCCTACGGTAGAATGCCCCGTTCTCTTATTTGCAGCATCTTACAGGTACCTTGCATGTACCTGCCTGGCATGAGGTGGGGGCTGGGAAGTTCTACAGAGTCAGTGCTGCACCCCAAAGTTTACACTCACAGAAAAATGGGGCTGGAAATGTTTTCTTTGTTCTTTCCCAGAGGATTCTATTCAGAGTCAGGGTGAAAAGGTGTGGGAATGCTCCTCCACAGGCTGCTGCGGCAGGGAGCTTGCTGAAGCAGTGCTGCCTTGGTTTGGAGAGACAGCCATGGGAATATGCTTTGTCCTTTGTTGGCTGTGCCAACTGAGGCCAAGGGGCCAGTATGAAGCTGGTCTCAGGTGCATTAACTGAGTGTGTCAGTGTGACTCAGGAGCTACTGCTGCTCCATAACCCCTCTCTCTATACTCTCTCCTTTGAGAGATGTGCTGGAAGGCTCTGCGGTTCCTCCACAGCAGGCAAAGTTGCGTTGGTACTTTCTGTAATATGGCCCCATTTACTAGCACCTTGATGAAGTTCATCCACTTTTTTTGGCATAGAGTTGCACTTTTTTTGTTTGTTTTAGTGCCTCTTTCCCCCACATTTTAATATTGAGTGGGTGGTAAGCCATTTGCTTGGTCCCTTGAATAGAGATGAGTCCCCTTACCTATGCTGTCTCGGTTCATCGTAACTGCAGCTACGCATATTGGTTTTATTTCAACTTCTTTTCTCGCTTGGAGTGCCAGCCCAGCAGGTCTTAGGAGTGGAGGGTCATCCTAAGGGTAAAACTGAGGTTAGATCTGAGTCTGAGGCATGCTACTTTAGCTATATTGGAGGGTCTGGGGATTGGGGCCTTATTAGTTCCTGGTACCACATTGTTACAATCAGTGCCAAAGGGAGTGCAGATAACAGGTGAGCAGGTAGAGACATGCCCCAGCCCCCAACCCATACACATAAGGCAGTAAGGCAGGGTCACTCAGCAGTACCCAGAGGAAACCTGTCAGCCTGCAGTGTCTACCCTGTGGCCACTTGAAGGGAGGGGATGAGAGCATCTGAGGACAGGGTCTCACAAAGAAGAATTCTCCACACTAAAAGCCCTCAGCTTTGGCTGAGCCAGTGGCTCACATACTTCCATACTGAATGGTTTGAATTCAAAAATGAAAAATAAAATAGTGGTAATCTTTTTATCGGGGAAAGGAGAAATATCTGAAAGGCAATAGAAACCACGTCTTCCTAAGGGCCACTTGCTGTTGGAGCAGTGGTCAACATTGTCCTTTGTCCTTTTGAGTGATGACTGATTTTGCTCATCACACAGATTGTGTGGGCTGAGGAGCCAGGCATGAACATCCAGATGACTCTGGGGCATCAGAGAAAGAAAATGATCTTTGTGTGGTTTTCTTTCATATACACAGTAATGGCCGAGTCAAGATGCCTATCTTGGAATACTGGACCTACCTTGATCCATCTCTGTGACTTTGAACATGATATAAATGTCTCAAGGCCTTAGCAGATACATCTAGACACAGGGTTATAGGATTTTATCCCTGGGAGGATGTAGTGAGGGTAAAATGAGTTGATCAAGGCAGAAGGACTGAGAGCTGTGTCCGATACGCGTGCTCTAAGACGTGAGGAATTGAATGGTACATCAGGTGGAGGTTCCCAGTTACGAAGTGAAGAGCTCAGTGAGCGTGATGAGACATCTCACCCTGTTACCTTGAAGAAATAAGTTAACGGCCTATGTAAAGTGGCAGTGGTGGTGCTTAATCCCATGTACTAATGCTGGAGCATGACGAAAGAGAGAAGATACATAAAATGTAGCTGGGGAGCAGCAGCCTTATGGGGTCCATGCAGGTCAGAGTTCTGTGGGTCCTCTCTGGTGTCTACTTTTTTTGATGAGTTATAGAAGCTCAGTAGATGGTCCTGCTGTCACCAATACCACCTGGTTACATGGGCCACCTCTTATACTTTGTGCCATTCATCCAAACTGTCTGTGACTAAGTCTAATGACATCTCTGTGACTGAGAGTTCACAGCACCCCCGCCCCCCCAATACCTGAGGTGCCAGGACTAGAGGAAGGCTTTTGCAATGGCTTCCATGGCAAGTGTACCCACCGAGATGAACAGAGCAAGCTCAGACTGAGTCCCTGCCTCTCTGCACACTAGCATGCCCACATGTTGCCTGGCTCACCAGCATCCTAAGCAGAGTGAAATTTGGGCCTTGGAATATGCAGCCTAATCTTAGCTGTAGGTAGCATCAGCATTCGCTAGGCGACTCAGACCACAATGAAAGCAAATTGGAATTACTTAATTCTGAAGAGCTGTTTATTGAGTTGTGATAATGTACTGGCTATATGTTAGATTACTCTGTAATTGAGGTTTCACTCAGTTGACACCCATCCTGTGCCTACCTGTTCCAGGCCAGTGCTCATAAATGTTCTCATTCTCTCCACCTGTTTCTGATCTTTGCAGTGTCTTCCATTTCAGGGTGTTTGGCTTGGCTAAAGGACATGAGTGCCCTTAACCAAAGTCACTCAGCTGCATTCTAACAGTCACAAATTGGTGATTTTTAAATGTGTCGTCCAAGTCCATTTCCTATCCTGCCAAGTACTCAGAACTTGTGAACATAGAGTTAGTATTTCCAGAGAAAGAGCTGGCTGTGTGGATCATCAGGTGAGTCCAACTGGGCGTGGTAGTTGAGTCAAGATTGGAGGTTATAGATTAGAACACACCTGAATTTC